AGTATTTATACCTCCAGAGTGTGTATGAAGTTGTATATTGACTTCAAAACTACAGTGAGCTTTTCTTGGTCTTGATGTGACCATTGGATTAGCACATGTATACTCTACATCCAGTAAACCGGGAGTCTGCAAATGTTTTTGATAACCTGCTCCATCAGTAAAGCATGTTAGCTAATACGTGTGTATTTGTGTATGTTTTTAGTTAGAAAGGATATACTTGTGCTAATGTAAAGGATATAGCATAAGAAATTGACATTTTTAAAAGGTAAAAGAAGTTCAACATCACTAACTTCATATGGTTCCACCTAATGCATTGTACATTCTATAAATGTATAAAGATAGAAAATTTTAAAGGTAGAAATAAAAATTTAATCGTGTTTTAATGCCTTGCTAATTATGATGATTCACTATCAGTAGCTAATACTTCAAGGTGAAATTCATTGTTAACAAAGGTGGATGGTCTTGACAATCTTGAGTTTTTGGTTTGGTTTTTGTCTTTAGTTTCAGGTGTACAGTATAGGGATTCATCACTTCACACAACAGCCAGTGCTCCTCACAAGTGCCTTTCTGAATCCCCATCACCTATTCAACCCATCCCTCCCCCCACCTCCCTTCTGGTAACCATCAGTTTGTACTCTATAGTGAAGTCTGTTGCTTCATTTACCTCTCTCTCTCTTTTCTCCCCCATGCTTATTTGTTTTGTTTCTTAAATTCCACTATGAGTGAAATCATATGGTTTTTGTCTTTCTTTGACTATTTCAATTAGTATTGTACTCTATAGCTCCATCCACATCTTTGCAAATAAAAAAGATTTCAGTCTTTTTTATGACTGAGTAATATTTCCAGTGTGTGTGTGTCTCTTTGTGTGTGTGTTTATATGCACATACATACCACATTTTCTTTATCCATTCATCAGTCAACAGACAAATGGGCTGTTTCCATAATTTGGCTATTGTAAGAAAACAGTATGGAGGTTCCTCAAAAAGTTAAAATAGAACTACTCTGTGATCCAGCAATTGCCCTACTAGGCATTTACCCAAACGATACAAAAATACTAATTCAAAGGGATACATGCACTGCAGTGTTTATAGCAGCATTATCTACAATCTTGAGGGTTTTTAAACCAGTACCTTATCAGGTCCAACTAGGTACTTATTGTTTTAACTTCATAAAGTGGTGGTAAAAATTGTCCCTCCTGCCACTTCCTTGTGGTTTGTGCTTGAAGTATTAGTATTACATCCTCAGTTTCGTTGTGGGAAAATTTTTAAAAATCAGTTCATTTTGTAAGCAGGTGAGTCTAGTTAAAATTAAATAAGAGAATCTGGAAATCTGTAATAAGCCCAAAGGAGTCACTATTCTCCCTTTGGTGTTATAAAACTTCCCTCTTCCCCTAAGACCCTCATGTGGCATACGAAGTGAGGCCCAGTGTCAATTCGTAAAGTTTATTAAGCTTAGATTATTTCTTAATTATTATGATAAAAATACATAAGTGGAAGCTCTAATGTTTTCTTCCAATATCCCAACACATGTGCTCTACTTTAGAGACTAGAACAGTGGATATCTAATCAATGAGTAGAACTATTCCACTCGTTTCTTGGGCCCTGAGAAGTATACCACATTTATACATACGCTTAGGCATGAAGCAACGTTCTCCTTTATTATTCTGTTAAAATTATAAGAGTAAAAAAGCAAACATTTTACCTTTAATACTTTACCATTATCTGTGATTTTAGTCTTGAAAACTAAATTGCCCAGAAATCAAGCTCTGTGCTATGTGAACCAGACCCTGTTATGGTAATACTATTTCAGGAAGTATAATCGGTGGATTTATTTTTTTAAAGGATTCTTAAATATAACAGATACAAGGTTGAGGACTCAAGTACTCATGAGAATCATTATTTATGTGTTTTGAAATTGTAATTATGTTGATTTCCAGTGTTTCTGTTGGTGGTTTCATTGATTTAAGAGCACAAAAATATCACATAGTTATTTCAGTCTTGTTTGATTCTTAGTGTTTTGTATTAAATCTCTGTGAATATATCTTATCACAAAGCCATTATTATACATTTTGTAAAGGAATGGAGAGTCAGGGCTCTGGGTGGATCACTGGTGGTTACACTAAAGTAGTAGGAGTAAAATAAAGATTATACCAATAGAATAATGACACGTTACCATGCTTGTCATGAATAAACATGAATAACGATCTTAGGGGATGTAAATGCATTAAATAATCTACTAAAATAGTACACATGGTATCTTAATCTTAAAAGGGTCCCAAACCAATGAGCTAAATTTTAATCGATGATCTAAAATTTAAACTAACTTTCTTGAGTATAATAATTATTTAAATGATTTATTCAAATAGCCAGCATAAAAAGTTCAAAAAATAAGTATCATAATGTATTCTGGATGAGATCCTAGAATAGAAAAAGGACATTAGGGGAAAAAGTGAAATGGAATGAAATGTGAAGTTTAGCTAATAGTAATGTACTAACATTGGTTCCTTAGTTATGACAAATGCACCATGGTAATATAAGATGTTAACAGTAGGAGGGAACTGGGTGATAGGTATGTGGGGGCTTTCTACTATGTTTGCCATTTTTCTGTAAATCTAAAGCTATTTTGAAGTAAAAAATAAATTTAAACTTTAAAAAGTATTATCCAGGAGCACATACCAGTTTTTATAATGATACTATATTCTTTTCATACTTAATTTCTGATCATTGACTCACAGTTGGAAAAGTGAATGGCACATGAAAATCAGATTTTCTGTTTATTAAATAAAGTCTAAGAAAACCATGCTGGCCAGCTGGAGAGGTTCATGTTACGAAGACAGCATTACAACAACAAAAAGAAAATATCCAGGAATAAATTTAAGAAGAAATGGGTTGGCCCTATGCAAAAACTATAAAGCATTATGAGAAAGATACAAAGACTTGATTAAATGGACAGACATATTTTATATTTGGATAGAAAGACTATTGGTTTAAAGATGACAATTCTCTTTAATCTGTGCATTTACTTGGAGCCCAATAAAAATAGCAATATGATTTTAGGTAGCTGTTCCTTTGAGCTCAAACGTAGCCCAACTATGAACGGGCGAGTTGAAGCAGAGCTAACAGGGGTTCCTCACTGCTGAGACATCTGAACATCAAGCTTATTTCTCTGAGAACCCACCTGAATTGATACTTTTCCTAATGTAGACAACACCAAGCCACATATCTAGTTTTGTCCTAAGTGAAAGCCCTGACTTCTTTTTGCTCATGACCTAGCCCCATACCGCAAAATCAACCAAAGAATTTCTGTGGATCCTGTCACCTCTGAACACGAACTAATGTGTCAGGCTGAGGGTTTCCCTGAGGCTGAAGTCATCTGGACAAGCAGTGACCATCGAGTCCTGAGTGGCAAAACCACCATCACTAATTCCAACAGGGAGGAGAAGCTTTTCAATGTGACCAGCACACTGAGAATCAACACAACAGCTTACGAGATTTTCTACTGCACTTTTCGAAGATCAGGTCCTGAGGGAAACAGAAACAATACTGCTAAGTTGGTCATTCCAGGTAATATTCTGAATGTCTCTATTCAAATGTGCCTACTGCTGTCCTATGGCCTCAGCATGGTGCCTGTTCATTGTAGGCATCCATCATTCATTAAATAAGTGAATGCATATATAACACTCTATTTACAAAATGCTTCCTCCTCTCCATTCATCCAAGTCACATTGCTATTTAATAAACATTCAGCAGATATTTATTGAATAAGCCCTATATGCCAGGCAGCAGGGGCTCACAAAAGAGTAAGACACTGTTCACACTCTCTGGGAAATAGATAAGGAACAGATAAGGCAATCCGATCCCATGTAGGAAATGGTCTGAGGAAGACTCAGCTCAGGCAGTGTTTCAGGAATCCAGATCCCAGCACATCAGAGCTGCTCCTCTCTTTCCAGGGTTTCTGTGGTAACAAGCAAATGGATCATACCCCATCTGTCCACCCCACCCCCAAGATAGTCTATGACATTTCAACACAAGGTGGTCTATCTCCTTAGTGTGTAAGACATAAGATTGTGGTCCCTGCCTAAGCTCCTCAACTTCTGTGTGCTTCACTTTCCCTAGTTATAACAGTTATAAACTATCAGGCAAGGTTACCATAGGGGCGAATGAGCTACAGCGTATGAAAATGATTTGAGGCTCTTGCCTGCACAGACTCAATTATTTTTTTTCTTACTACCCTATAGGAGTGGGTACGGTGGGATGCATAGTCTGATGAGAGGCTGAGACCTTTAGAGAAAGTGAGGCAGGTTAGCATGATGTTAACATAAACCCAGAGGTGTTCTGAAAAGCACTTCTCAATTCCCCGTCTTCTAGCAGATGTTGCCAGTATAGCTTCAGCTACTTCAGAAAAAACAACTAAGAACTCGGGTGGAAAAGTCAACCAATAGGAAAAGGCAATACAGGATGGTCCCGTGAATGAGAAGAGTACAAAAAAAAGTCGAGAAACTTAAAGAGATGCGCTTACTGGGTTATGAGTCACTTCGGTAGCTAGGGCTGCGTTCATGGGTTCCTGCCATTTAAAAGTTGCTTTATGACAACTTATCTGTGGGAAGACTTAGGGTTATTCACCTAACTGCTTGGGGTCTCTTTCCTCATCTATCACCTCGGATTCTTTTTTAACATCTTGCATGTCTAAACTGAACTTATTTTGAGATTGAAATAAAATAGATACAAACGGGCTTTGTAAACTGTAAGCTACTAGAGGAAGGCTGACCACTGTTGTGGCTTTAAAGCTTGAACGATGTCGTCAGGGATCATGACCAATGGAGGGAGGAGGGAGTTAGCAGTCTCTGAGCATCGTGTGCTAGGGGACCCCTTTTCTTCCTTCACGGAACCACAGACAGATTGGTGAGAAGTATCCAGGATTAGATGTCCCGAGATGTTCAAACTGAGAAAGAAAAGATAGCAAGCAATGGCCCTGAATCGTGGCCACATACATGAGGAGGTGGAAGCTCTTGGGCAGTGCCAGTTGGCCTTCCTGTCCCATCTTTACCATGTACAACAGGCCGCTAGCTTCTAGATTAAAGAATGCAAGGGAGGTCACCGAGCCTCCCATTTAGTACTGAGCGGCAACTACCTGTGTGTGATAAGCACTTCACAAACATTGGCCTCCCAATAAATTTATTATCATTTCCATTTTGTAGGCAGGTGAAAGGATTTGCCTGAGATCTCAAAGCTAGTGAGTGGCAGCAGAATGTAACCCCAACCCATCTGTCCAAAGCCTGGGCTGCTTCCACTTTTCTGGGCTGCTCCGTTTTCCTGCCAGCATCCCACCATTCCAGCCACTCACTGTAACCCAAAGCTAACCGAAATTCAACTTCAAGGATGATTATTCTCTTGACCCCTTCCCATCAAAATTTCATCTTTAGTTTCTTTTTGTTTTCTTTTGTTTTTCAGAACCCCCTCCAGTTCCACCAAATGAGAGGACTCACTTCGTGGTTCTGGGAGCTGTCCTGGTGTTTCTTGCTGTAACTCTGGCAGTCATCTGTCTCAAGAGAAATGGTATCTCCTTTATTGCAGTGGTCTCCACTGGGCACATGGGGCAATGTACAGGGCTGCTCCTGTTCTCACGGCGGCACTTATAGGCAGCGCCAGGGATGCTCAGCCTTCTGTAATGTGCGGCTCAGTCCCAGGTAGCAGGGAACTCTCCTCCCCAGAATGCTGGTGGCACAATCAGGAAACACGGATTTATAAAATGCTGCCTTCCTATTAGCATTCTCTTCTAGGGCCAACTTCCGTTTATGCAAAGTGGGCTTCAGCTACACTGCCATGTGAAACTGTGTCTCATCTCTTACTCCAGTCATACTCGTTTCATTGTTCTGCAGCATAGCTTGCCTTGGAAGGTGGCAGTGAACACTTGTGGGAGCATTTACAAGGGGGTGACAGTTGGATCATAGCTGCAGGGAAACCTGATTGGCCTTTGCAAGGTGGCACAAAGACATTCCACTATTCAATAGCAATGACAGTGAAGCTGAGCAGGATTGCTGGGTGAAGATCATGTGTGTGGGGGTGAGAGGTGCGAGAATGGGTATGTACAGAGGTGAAGAAGACCAAACTTCGTACAGTTTCTTTCCATCATGCAAATAACCACAGACTTAGAGTAAGGGACAAAAAGCTAAAATGCCTGTCGGCTTCAGTTGAATTTGAGTCTTGCATTAGTTGCACTGTTATATTGAGCTGGTTTCCGGGCACCCTAAGGAATAAAAATAGTTTTTGTCTGTAGAGCAGTGATGCTTTTACCATAGAGTATTTTACAAGATTTCTGTCAGAGGGTGCTATATAGTTTTCAAAGTAATTTGCATGTGTTTATTTCTCTATTTGCCCATGGGAACAATTGAAACACAGGAAAATGCATCTATTCAAATAATTTCCTCCCATTTTAAGATGATTCAAAGTAGACATTTCCCCAGTACTTTGAGAAGTATACCAGGGGATCCAGTGATGATCTGTATGTAGAGTTATCTGAGGTCAAATAGGGAAGTGGAAGATGGAAGGGAATTCCAATGGTGGTTGAAAAATTCCCCACAGCCCCTTAAAAGGATGGGTGGATCTGGGAAAGTGGCATAATTGAGTAGAGGTCAGCTATTTCTAAAGAATAGGTATTTAACAGAACTGAGACAATTAGCCAGAATAGAAAGCTCAAGGTCCAATGATAATGATGATCCTGAGATGGAGTTGATTTGTCCAAGGAAGTAACTCTTGCCAACTTGCATTTTGAATATTTCCCCGTGAAAAGTAATTAGTCATCATTAGGAGTGGCTAGAAAACTGATGTATAATAAAGTGACTCAGTATATGGTCTACCTTTGAGGGAAGGATGGAGAAAAGACCATGCGACTCTTGATCTTGGGGTCGTGACTTCGAGCCCTACGTTGGGTGTAGAGATTACTAAAAAAATAGATAAACTTAAAAAATAAAATAAAATCTAGGAGCAAAAGCATATGCCCTAAATTGTTGAATTGACCTCAGGGCTTGGAACCCATGGAATAAATTCAGAAGTCTACCAGATTTCCTAGGGGATTAAAAATGTTTCATAGGAACTTGGAATTTAAACTTGAGTCACTATGTGGGATGTAGAGCTGTATTACATGGGAATAAAAATGACCTTTTTTTTCTCGAGGGAAAATGATGGATGTGGAAGAATGTGGCATCCGAGATAGGAACTCAAAGAAACAAGATGGTAAGAATATTAGCAGGGGTTAGGAAGTTGAAAGAAAAAGAAACAAAAAGTTAAAGTAATAACAAGGAGAAAGCTATCAGCCATAATCTCTCCTCACTTTAAAGAATGCTGGCTATTGGAGCTACTGACCCCTCTTTGCCTCACAATTCTAATATAAGAACTCTCCCCGTAGTCCAAGGAGATTTAGAGATGGCCCTGGAGTGTAGAGTGGTGAGCATCTTTGGGGATGGGGCAGGAGGCATCTTCTCTCTGCTAGATTTATAGCTCTGCATCCTAACACCTCCCTGCAAAAGGGGACCAAGTTGACTTATGTGGGTGAGTAACAGAGAGAGAGAGAGAGAGAGAAAGAGAGTTAAAACTTGAGTAGTAGGCACTATGTTAACTGCTTCATATGCAGTGCCTCGTTTAATCTCCCCCCAACAAAATCAAAGAGATAAATACTAGGATATTTCCCATCTTACAGTAGAAAACACCAGAGAGTCAAGAAAATATATCAAATTGCCCAAGGACTCATACCTGACAGAAATCAGGCTTTGGAGTCCACTAGCCTGACCATAAAACTTTACTCTTAACTTATCCACTTAAATTCATTTCACCAAAAATGTCTCCATTTATAAAAGGTCAGAAAGACCTTACCAACCTGATTGAACTAAGAATAAAGTTATATTAAGATTTCTAATTCTTTTTAATACAGTTAGAAACCAAACTTCACAACAAGCCCTAATTTAAAGTAATCTAAGTAGTTTGGATGAGCTCAGGCAGGTTTCATTATGTGGTCAATTCCATTCAACTGTTTTATAAAACTAGTGAATGTTGTTTGGAGTATCCTAGGGTGACCAACCATCTCTCTTGATTTGCCCATAATTAAGGGGTTTTTCAGGACATGGGACTCTTCGGTTTTAAAACCAGAACAAACCCGGGCAAACCAGATGGTTGGTTACACTTTATTATATAAAGATAATTGGACATAAATATAATCTGCGTCTCTCTCATTGCAAATATATTCTATCATCTAGCAAATATGAGTTATGTTTGTCATTATTATTCTCCAGATATACAATTTGAAGAGACATAAACCAGCATTGAAACTCCTGATCTTAAAGCAGGGATTCTCAGCCTGTGGTTTGAGTTTGGCAGAGCTATGCATGACCAGAGCAGTGCAGTGGGCCAGGCGAGCTGCAGATGCTCTAGGACTTACCAGATCCAATCACTCAACAGCGGAAGCTGGGAGAGAAGAGGAGAACAAAGCAAGAAGGAGCAGAGCGGGTAGCCTGCAAGGAGACCTTGGTACTTCAAAATGACTGGGAGACTCATGGGCGCCTACGGGAGAGAGGAGGGACGCTTCTGAAAGATGAGCCCCCACACAAATCGTCCATCGCTCATCCTAGGAAAACAAGTTGAGATTCCCTGATTTAATGGTCAGTTCCTGCAGAAGTGCCCTCTGCCTTCACTCAACGTCTCTGTCGTCTGTATGACTGAGAGTCCCAGTGTTGCAACAGTATTTAAGTATGTTATTTCTATTTATTTTGAGTCTTTGGAGTCTTGTCACGTGAGTGTGGTTGTGAATGATTTCTTTTGAAGATATATTGTAGAAGAAGTTAAAATGTTGTCACAAAACTGAACTTACTGCTTAGTGAATTGTGCATGTTCAGTAAAATGAGTAGTAGTTATAAGGTGCGTGGTATCCTCCACAGCCACCAGGACGTAGGAAGCGTAGAGAACAGGCCCGTGGTTTGTATAGGATATTACCTTGTTTAACCCACCAGTACTTTGGTTGCCTCCAATAATCTTATTCTCGGACCCTAAGGTAAGATATGTTACTGCAGTATCTGTTCCATTTTAAGTATCAGTGTTAACAACGATGTGGTATCCTACACACAGAATCTCACTTAATGCCTAGGCTAGCAGTGTTGTGGTAAGCACTCTTTTCAAACCCGTTTCACAGCTGAGGGAGCAGAGAGCTAAAGTAACTTGCCTGAGTCAGTAAGTAGCAGACCTCAGATTTCCACAGCTGTCACCCACAGTCCTTTTAGAATAAAGTCTAGAGCTGTGTTTTGCTTTAAGAAATTCATTCAGAAAACATTTAGGAAGCACCCATGTGCCAGGCAGTGATTGAGCAAGACAAAGAACCTCTCTTCTAGGAGCTCATAGTATCATGGGGAGATTGATAAGGAAATTCATTATTACAGTTTAATGCAGTGTCATAGCATAAGGTGTTGGAGGAGAATGACAACATGAAGAGGAGAGTCTAGAAAGGTTGCCAAAGGGAGGGCATGCCCTGGACAGCCCGTCAGTGTGTTCCCTGGAAGGTGAAAATACATTTTTTTTTTTTAATATTTTATTTATTTGACAGAGACACAGTGAGAGAGGGAACACAAGCAGGGGGAGTGGGAGAGGGAGAAGCAGGCTTCCCACTGAGCAGGGA